CTACAGAATTGTTACAGGTATTCAAATCTGGCTTTCAGAAAGACATGGGTCTCTTTGGGAATCCCACCCAAGAAGTCGTGTCTTACATGGGCAGGCTGTCATTAACTCGTGAACTTCCTGTCTAGAATATCCTGTTCTGATTCCTACCAAGAAACAACCATCTTGCCACAGGGATTGACTGTTCGGAAAATCAGACAGCGATGAAAGGTGACAGAGGGGTGGCGATGGAGGGGGGTTGTTCTCTCTGCAGTGCACATATCTAAGAAGCAAATGCCTTAAAAGTTGAGGTGATCCAATAGCAACAGACATGATGGAGGCTATGTCCCACACACTGAGAATGCCACCAGCACATTGGAAAACACACACAGCTATACTGCAAATGTGAAATGTATGGAGGACATATGGACTTCAAATATAGAGCCACAGATAGCAAAAGCTTGGGAAAGAAATCCAAGTGGCTCTCGTCAAACAACAAATAAAAACCCTGTTCTTGCAGAAATTAATTAGTATAATTGCTTCTGTTGACATTCAGGAGAACAATGGAAGGGCCATTACTTAGTCTAGATTACAGCTGGGTCACATTTCTGGACAAATCTTTTCGTTGCGAAAAAGTGCATATTCAAGTTGACAGAAATGTTTAATGGATTCAAGTTGAACTTGCTGAATTGTTCTGATTTAAAAAAAAGAATTCTGAAAAAAAATCAAACCATTTTGTTTAGCCATTTTCAAATCAAAACATGTCCTCTTTTTGTTTGAAACATTTCCTTTCAAGTGAACTTCAATTTGATATTAAAGAAAAAAACCCTACAGAAAACTCAAAACTAATGTATTTGGCCCATATAAGGATTTTTAGGGCATTATCTTTAATTGGACTAACTGTCTAGCTGGGATAACATTAGACACTTTTTCAAATGCAAAGCACTTAGTTTGACTTGAAACAATATTTGTTCATTTTTTGGTAGTGCAAAGAAACAAGCAAAATAAATATTCACACAGCTCTAGTTAAAATGAACCCTGTGTATTTGGGAGGGGAAAGACCGCTCATCCACCCATCTCCTTGCCACTGCTAGCCTGTCCCCATTTTCCGGTGCTCTGTATTTACTATTCCTTCATCCAATCCAGTCTTAAACATGCAAACCACTTGGCTGTCTTGTTTCAGAAAAGGATGAGAAATTACCCTACGGTCACACACAAGATTTGTTCCAAGACCCACCTTGCCTTCGTGATCATTCTGTCAAAGGGCCAAAAGAAAGGGGTTGGTGGTGGCGGGTGTGGTGGAGATGGCTGGTTTTGCTCTTTGGTTTTTAACCTATCCAAGCTTGAGGGCTAGTCACCAAGAAGTGACTTTAAAAACATGGAGGTCACAGACTTGCCTACTCTATAGAGGATATTCTAGGAAGCAGCTAAAGACTGCGCTCATAAATGGGAGTGAGCCTCTCTTCCATACTGCAGGAAAACCTGTTTATAGGCCAGTGGTAGAGATCACGTGGAATGGGAATCCGTTCCAGGCAACTCCGAGAGAGGGTTTAGGGAGGCTGTCAAGATTTGCAGATAGCAAATAACTTTCTAAACTCTACTTGCGGGGGGCCTCAAGTAAGTCAATACATGTGTTATTACATGTCATACACCGCAGTTTCTTGGCACAAACAAGCAATTCAGCCACCTACAATTACATTAGTCAAAGCCAAATTATATTTTAAATGTAGCTTTTAGAGTTAGGAAATGCCTTTACTGCCTGGAGCATATCAACTCTGAATCCAGATCTTCACTTTATGACTCAGGCTTGTGTCCTTAAAGTTTGGAACAAAATGATAAGAGAAACGAGCAAACTACGACTGAAAAAAAGAAGTGATGTTGAGATAAGGAAAAGTGCTCCGAGGTCCTGATTCATAGGGCGTTTACACACATGCTTCGGGAGGTGGGGAGCGTGGAAGCTTTAACAAGCGTTGAATGAGCTTTAGTTAAAGCACCCCCGCTGCCATGTTTCAGCATGGGGACACTGATACATGTGACGTTGGAGTCTGTTGAAGCGCAGTGATTACAACGCTCCAGCAGACTCAATTAATCGAGTCTGCTCCGATGTGTTGTAATTACAGCGCATCAGAGCAGCTTCAATTTACTTGTATAAGCAGCCTTAGAGTGAGGAGGAACACTTAATCTGAGATTAAAGCAGGAGAGTTTGTTCATCATGTATGGTGTTGCATATGTTTCATGTGGCATCTATAAAAAGATACAGCAGCCCTTCACAACAACTGCCAAATGAAACGGGGACTAGTTGCTAAACTTGTGCAAGGGTGGGTGTTTAGCTGTAAGGAAGTTAGTGCTCCGAGTGCAGGAATACAGTATCCTGCTCTGTGTAAAAGGCCTAGTGTGCTCGCAGATGCTTTGAGGCTAGCTATTGCGTGTCCCTCGTGCCAAGGGTTTGTGTTTGGCATTAGAAGGAGAGTTTGCATTTGAGACCCAATATAAGTATTTAAAGGAGCCAGGAGCCCCAGGACTTCCAACTGGATTGGTTCACTAAATTCTTTCATGCGTGCAAGTAACTAATGACCCCCATCAATTTTTCCCATTGCATGGTTTTCCCATGATCTACAGCTTATTTCATCCAAGGGAAACTGTTGGGTTTGCTCAGCAGCTCAACCAATTCCTAGCTGTACGCACAGAAACTAGGCCAGAAAACAAGAGGCCAAAAGACTCCACCATTAGTTCAGGAAAAAAGGAATGGCTTCCCCATAGAACATAATAATGGACAAGTGATCCTATCTACTGGAAGGGGTTGGGTCGATTCAGCTTATGGGAGAACAGAGGTTGTATGCACTATTGTTACCCCCTGAAGGGCAAGGTATAGACCCTTGCATGGGATGGATTTAGGAAACACTAGCCAACTTTGGCATACCCTCTGCATACCTGTCCATCTAGTTGCCACAATGCCTCACTGATGATATAATTGCAGCAGTATGACTAGAAATGTGTCCTTCCTACCAGTTGACCTCTGTTCCCATAAATCTGTGTCACAATGAAGATATGTACATGTTTGGGATTAAACAGCTTACATCTTGTTGCAATGACTAAATTCCTGTGCTGCTTTGCTCCATGGAAAGCTCAGCAATACACATTTTTGGAAGGGGGATAAACTATCTCAATATGTTGGCACAGATTCCCCACGTCCCTCAAGGGAAAACAAAGATGGCAGTGAAATTTCTGTGAGTGTGGTATTCCCACCCAGAACACTTCTTTCGGTCAGATCTCAGCAGTGCAGTCGAGTCTCATGCCTTTATAAAGACTAACATATGACCCAACTCTTGTTCTATTCTAATGCACTATGTGAGAGCCCAGGGGTGAAGGGAGCTTTCCTCAAGTTTGAAGCATGCCAGAAGGACACGTGCTTTTACTATAATTGTCTGAGTTAGAAAAAAATGTAATAACTGATTTCAGCATGACACTGCAGATGTATAAGCAAAAATAACTCTAGCTGTCCTTAGAAAGACATTATAAACATCAGCTCCAAGCAGAGAGGCCAGACCTTCCATGAATTCTCAGCTTCCCTTTGGAGGTGGAGGGCTCTTGTAGTAGGGATTTCTTGCTTGTTACCACCTAGGGTGTCTATGTCTTGCCCTGCTCTGCGATTCTAGGGCAGCAAACTCCAGCAAGGCACAAGATTCTCCGCACGGACCCGCAAGCGGGGCCAAGTACTGAAAGTCATGATGGGAGGTGTTACAATCCCACCCATGCCAGGCAGGATGTGGGATACCCTCAAAACCATAATTCCCTCTCAGACCTTTGCGAATCAGCACGAAGTGGCAGATGGAAGGAATTAGCCCCTTAAAGGCAGCTCTCATCTGACTTAAGTTATTAATTATGAAAGGTTAGGGATGACTTGCAGAAAGGAGGAAGCAAGCTTGCCTGCTGCACCATGCCTGCTGATCCAGCATTTCAGTCTTCAGATGGTACCTAATGTCTGGGATTCTTTTTTTCTTGCAGCCCCATTCAGGACTGGGAGCTTAACTCCTACTCCCAAACCTGTCCAATGGATGTAGTCCCCCCGGAAGAAAGCCAAGCTGGTTATGAAATGGGATGCGTACACACAATCTCCCTCTCTCCCCTGCCAGTCCCCCTCCCGTAAGTCACTAGGTCATTTTCTAGGAAAGCTTCCTTCTTATTCTTGAGTCCAGCTTTCACTTGCCAGACCCCACTGGGGGTGTTTAGAGAAGACCTACGCCATGCTGGGACAGGACTGTGGAGTTTGAAATAGAAGACTGTTCTGATGCCTACCCAGGGCAGACATGTTCACCTAAAATGATGGTTTCTTTCTTATGAGCCTCTGAGCCGCTTGCACTATTTATTATCCAGGTTGTAGGACATCTGATTCCATATGCAATATTGATATGGGTAGCACATGGGCCAAGATGGGTAATTTTGGTAGCCCAATTAGATATTTCATAGAATCATAGACATACATAGACTACATCTGTGTATTCAGAGGTGCCTACTCAAACCTTCTTCGATGTTGGGCCCTGTTAAATTAGGTAAAGACTGGGCATCCCAAATCCTTTTGAAAAGTTTGGTTTCTATTCTGTGTTCTGACTCGAATTCATGAGCAAGATTGCAAACAAGATTGTCAGATTAATATAATACTTGCACTATATCTACTGTGTTTTCTTGTATGAGGGGAAATCAATTCTTTTAACTCCAAGGTGTGTGTGTGCGCATGTGCATGGGAGCACACCAGAGAGAGCAACGCATATCCATCCAACTTGGCAGACCCTACATGAGAGAGTGCATTCTTCTGAGGGACTCTGGACAAATAACACACATATACAACAACCTGTTTGGTAGATAAGTAAGGACCGGGAAACATGCAGTTGTGAAGGGAAAATGCTGTTGTGTGAAAGCTGAACTGTGTCACCTAAGTGTGTCAGAGCTCAGTTATGCTCTATCAGAGTTTAGTTTGCTATCATGGTTTTAGGCGTAATACAGATGGGGGGTCTCAGTGCATTCATCAAAAAAGCTCTCAATAATCTCACCCACCATGTCCAGTGTCAAGGGAAGTGCATTAGTCAGAAGAAGTTACAAATTAGGATCTTTGCAGAGGCAGAGCTAAAGCCAGATTATATTCTGGCTAACTTCCAGGAATGGTGGTAGACAAACTTTCAGACAGAAGATTCAATATGGGAGCCAAAGAGGATTCTTAAAGTTCTGGCCACTAGGGCAAAGGGGGGAAAGGAGACAGCAGTGGGGTATGATGAAGCCAAGGTCTGGCAGGTAGGAAAGAGATTAAGGGATCAGAGAATGACCATGTAAAAAATTCTGCCACCAACATAAAATGCAGGACAGAGATGGAAATTACCAATGAGGTGAGTAGGGGAGAATGCAGAGTGGAATCAGTTTGTATTGAGGTCCTTTCCCCCTCTCCTCCAAGCCATTTTAAGTAGAGCATGCAAGGAGGCAATAAAAGGGTCAAAGAAAGACCTATGAGGCATCTAATGGAAGAGATGAAAGACAGAAATAGAGAATGATTTTGGTATTAACATGCTGGACTGGGGCTTGGGAGATCTGCATTCAATTTCTATCCCTATTTTCTGCGTCACTTTGGGCAGATCTGTCTGTTCCTCAGTCCCCCACACGAACAATGAAGAAAATGAGTCTTTCTTCTTTGAATCTTTTGTTTAGTTAGACTGTAGGCACTTGGGCAAAGACTGACCCCTCTCTACATACTAACCACAAGCAACAGTACCCTCTTACTTGATATTATAATACAAATAATAAAAATATAATGAAGCAAGTAGGGGAAGATGACAAGTTTCTTGCTTGTAGTTCCCTACATTTAAAAAAGACAGAATGTACAGTCAGATGAAACAAGTGACTCTGCTGAAGTGGCACGGGAGCAAATGAGTGCCTTCCTGATCACCTGGAAAAAGGATGTCTATATATTAGAAAACAGGCCAGCAATCTGCATACAAATGCCATAATTCAAGCACCCTAAGACTTGGAAAACACAAGCCCAAACAGAAAGCCTTCCCCCTAGGGCAGATCTAAAATTTTGAAAAGCGCGGTGCAGATGGTGAGGTGCATCATCATATATAAGATGGCATGCACTTTTCTCCATTTAAAAAGAAACTAGAAACTTTACTAATATGCTAGGGGCTTAGGGCTGTATTATTCAGTTAAGACTGAAGCGAAAACAAACATCACTTGATTGGAATGACTTAAAACAGTCTGCAGGGCTGTGAAATATGAGCTCTGTTCCCAGGAGCAGCTAACAGATAGAGTTGCAGAACAAAAGCTAGCTTGATTGGTGGAACATCAAGGCCATTAAAAAGAAGAAAGGGTCATTAACACCTGTGGAATGAAGAGTTTAGAGGGGGTCATGTAGATTTTTATAATAAGCCATGAAGTCAAGTGACTTCCTCAGCATTGCCTGAGTACAAATGCTACTGCCGCTGCCAGGCAATTGGTTTTAAACTTTGGGTGGAACAAGAATCAAGGGGGGCAGGGTGCAAGTGTGCCAGTGCACACCCCCCCTTGGATCAACCCCTGGGTTTCCCAAACTTACTGTACACTGATAAGTCTGGCAGATATTCATGCAAGAGAGTGCAGCAGATTTTGTGGTCTGACCTCTTGGATAAAGGGGTTTATATCTGAAAGTCAAAAGTGCCTGCACACACCTGAGTCAATAAGAACAAGGCTGTCAGTCTCACTCGGTTTTACTGCCTCGGCCCTGTGTTTCCCAGCACTCTGGCTGTGCAATTCCCAAAAAAGATGCACCTATGCTGTTTGGAAGCCCTCTCTATATGTGATAGCACCCCTGGTTATTCAAGTGCTAACTCAACACTTTCTGGCTAGAGGAAGCCTGACCTAGATAGGTTCTCATTCTTCAATAGGGAAAAAGTTATAATGAAAGTCAGGCTGTGAACATGTCCTGTCAGAGGAGGGTGCAGTAGGAGAGGTAGCCAGAGGCACAAGAGGAAACTCCATGCTCTTCTGATCTTTTCTCAGAGGCAGGGAGAGATGCTGGAAGTAGGATGGGAGTTAAACTACCTATGAAAAATAATTTAGCAGCAGGCTGATTTTGGGAGGAAGGACAGTTCAGTGGTTTGAACAGTAGCGTGCCCGGTGGGAGACTCGGGTTCAGTGCTGTAAAGCCTTCTTAATTCACAGGAGTGGTGTGAGGAAAACTGCATTAAGGTTACCAATGAGTGACTGTGGTAACAGGGGCCATAAAAATATCTGAGAGAGACATGATCGTTTTTATAAAACAGGGATCGAAATACTGCCTGCATGGCCAAAGAGTCCAAGCACTGGCTTAACTCCTCCAACCCTGACCAGTCCGTAACATATACAGCCAAATCTTTCAGGATAGATGGGAGAGTCTGTGGCCACTGGAGTTCTGACCCAGAACTGAAGTGATTTGCAATTCGCTCTTGAAAGAAATTCCTCCTTTTGTCCAAAAACACCCTCTCTCCTCATTCCCACCCCAGGCAGAAAGGTGACCAAACAGAAATTAAATCTGGGGACATGGGAACACTGGCACTGAGCTGCTAGCACTACGCAGAATATGGGAGTAGTTGCTCCTCAGCACTGCTTCCCTACCCCCAGTTTAACTATTCATTAGAAACAGCTGCAAGTGAACAATGAGGCAACACAATAAAATTAATGCTCTCTTTTCTCTACCCTCTATGCAATCCTCATCACAAAATCAAGTACTCTTGATCTTGTTTCCCTTTTCTTAGGAGGATTAAATCCTACAATGCAGCACCTACAGGAGCAGGTTGCATGTGAGAGTTAGACTCATCCAGATATAGAACTGCAGGGGGTCAGCTCAAAGTGTGTTTCTAAGCCATTTTACTGGACCACTGCAACCACTGGTCCTCTAATTTCTTTTTAAAAGCAGCCCATATCACTTAGCTTGCTGATAAGATGAATTGCCTTGAGACAAGTTGACATAAGCCACTTTTGAACAGACATACATAAGTGTTGGCACAAAGGTTTGCAATGACTTCATTAAGTGAGTTTTCCCTGGGGCTCCAAATGTTATGTCTAATCTTGGTTCTGCACTGAATGGAAAGGTCTTGCCTTTTAATCACCTTCTTCACTATAAGAAGAATATTGCTTGGATGTTTATCTCGTGTCAGGTGACACCCTTCAACATGCCCTGAAACATGAGAATGGTAATTTCACTGATAAAGCCTTCATCGCACCACAATCCACCATGGGAAGAGCCACACCAACAAAACCGCATCAGCAAATGATATACTCACTAAAAACCCAAATGCAAACATCATCACCATAAAAACAGAGAAGCCCAAGAGAGGAGTGGACAGTAATTAGCACAGTTAGTTTATCTAAAAGGGAAATTTATATTTAGTGAGCTTCTCTGCTTCTGGCTGTAGAAATGCAGCTGAGCTGAGGCAGAGACTCTGAGGGAAGTAAATGTTCACGTACAAGAGGCTGCTCATAGCTAGGATTTGGGTCCTCAATGGCTGGTGCCAGGTTCACATACATATTGGGACAAGGCTCAAGGTTAGGGTCTCGAATCCCTCCAGTTCTTTCTCAGATCAAGTAGAGCAGATTAAGATCCATACTGATCTCAAACTTCCACCCTAGGAACTGTGCCTGTTTGCTGCCAGGAAAAGGGTAAAACCATATGCACTGCAGGAATGTACCCTTCCCATTTTGTAACCAGGCAAGAGGTCTTCTGACAAGGTGGAGGGCTGATACCTTATTTAAAAAGAATGAGAAATCAAAGAAAAGAGGGACATCAAAAAGGCCTTAAGAGTGTAGGATCTGGGGAGAGAACCAGAGCAGAAGGGAGAACGGGGCCCAGAACATGGTGCAGAATAAAGAAACAGGAGCTAGAAATGGGATTTTGCATGCAGAATAAAACACAGTGCAATAAGGGAGTATTCAGATCACCTTATCACCTTTCAGTCCGTGTTCTCCAGGGTTTCCTATCACTCCCTGAAAAAGACAAAGCAAACAATGAGCCCGAGCACTGCAGCCATATCTACTTGGAAGACCTGCATCATGTCTAGGTCATTTATACAGATAATGAGGCCGTGGACCAAAATCCATGGTATCCATAGCCATCCCGCACAGGTCACAGGTTGAATACCAGGCCTTTTCCAAAGCAGCCTCTGAGCTGCACTCTCAATTCAGTTAACTACCAAACAACCTGTGGTCTAAAGCTGCACGGGGAAAATGTTCCTCGCATTCCCCAGTAATTCATACCTGCTGTAGATTGTCAGAGTGACATTATGTCTAGCAATCCTTTACCTGGGTCAGTGGATAAACACTACTGCTGCCCATCCTGCTCTTTGTAAGGATGGCCACTTTCATCCAAAAAACAAACAGAACAATCTTCAGTCCAGACAAGAGAGCACTAGGTTTAGTTACTCTCTTACCTTTAGTCCTTTTGGTCCTGGAAAGCCTATTGGTCCAATAATGCCCATATCACCCTAGTAAGAAAAAGAAAATAAACCAAATTCAATATGTGTACGGTCAACAGATACCCTTGTGTGGTATGAAAATCCTCCTACCAGAATCCTTCATCCACTCCTTTTAAGGTTAAGTTTTGCCATTGATTTGAATGGAAACAAGATCCTGATACTAGTCAAGAGATTGATATGGTGTAGATGGCGACTAACTAGAGTAACACCAAATATGTATTTTACAAACAGAATAAAAAGAACAGCCTACGTTGTGTCCTGTTTTTCACCTAGTAGGAAGGAACCCAAAACACTTTGTAACCGAGACTTCAGCTCTTGACTGCAATCACTTCACCCACCACTGATGTGCAGTCACTTTGGTGGACAGGTGTGATGACTGTTCAAACAGGTCTTATTCCCATGGAGCATTATGAGCTGCTGTGCAACTGAGGCCAGGTGCTAGTATAAGAAGTGATGGCACCTGCATCCACTTGAAGCTTACGCAGGGAAACAAAGCCCAGCTTTCCAAACTGAATATAGGATTAAGACCAGAGTAACCCACAGTGAAAAAGTTCTGCCCGCAGAAGGTCTAAAATACAGCTTGCAGAGACTGGTGGGTAATTGGAGGGGTGGACTAGATATGAAACTAATTATGTGAAGTTCAAGCTAGGGATAAAATTCTATTAATTAATAAATCCACATTCAGGTCTAAGGATCAAATGTAGACCTGGTGTAAGTAGGGTGGAATGCCAGTTTGACTCGATTCCCCTCTATACAATCTCCTGTAGAGACAGTGTAAGTTACACTTGTTTTAATATTAAGAAGTACTTCCAGGGCAGTCACAGATGGATCCTCTTCTGCAGAGAAAAACCTTTGCTACTGAAATTCTGGGTGTTTTAACTGCGCTCCAGCTCTGGCACATCCTCCAAGCTAGCAGGAGAGTGAATGCTGCAATTCACCCCACAAGATTTCCACACGCAGGACCATCTCTTCCCACGCATGGAACAACATATTCCAATATGCAGTGTACGGGAAGGTACTTTCAATGAAAGATGCTGCTCATGGGTAAAGGGAAACAATGGATGGCTCCTTCTGAGTTTGGAAGTGATCTCCCAGTTCCTGCCAAAAACAGCATCCAGTTCTCAATATTTTATGTTTGTGCCCTAATTTCAGGACACCACTGTATCTGAATCTCTAATGGTCCCACAGGTGTGGAAACAATCAGTTCTTTTAACTAAATATATTCCTGTGAGTCTCTGATTGAGGCTTATTTATAAGTTTGACTATGGCATTATTTTAATGAGGAGCTTTCAGCATTTCATGAACGACTTAGACTGAAATAGAGAAATGGGTGGGTTAGCTCTGAACTTTCATTTCCTCCTCTTTTCTATTGAGCTGGCACTTCTAGTGCTAGTAGAAAGGCAGAGCTTGGGGACACGGTTTTCTACTGTATTATTTCAAGATTTATTTGGCACTTATGAGTGCTATGTTTGGGCTTAAAGATCTCAATATGAGATACCGAACATTGTGAGGTGCCTTTTATAAGCCATTTAGGAAACCAAGATTTAATTACTTGGGAAGGTCTGGGCACAGAGGTACAGTTCAATGGCTCTTTTAAATGAGTTATGTTTGTGTTCAGCTAGAAATGATCCTGAAGGTCTGGATTTGAAGTTGCATTTGATACGTTCTCCCATTCATTCTCCTTAACTTTTGAACACTGATGGAATTTCCTCTTCTATTGTCTATAAAACTAAACTATTATAAGAGCCACCTGAAATAAGAGCTCTATAATGCACATTTATTCACAGTCTTGCCCTGTCACCTACTGAACGTACCAGCTCCAGGCTGTTTGCCGAATTGTATATGTCCTCTACAGAGGACTGACTTGTGAGCTATATCAATGCCAATACCCCACAAAGCTATCTTTCATCTCTGGTTAAATAAAAGTATTTTGCAAATTCAGAAGCTGAGCTAAAAGCTCCCTCAGATGCACAGCTCTTTTATCCCACGGCGTCTCCATTGGCATGAAGAAGGAGCAGAACTTCGCTGCTTCCTCAGAAGGTGTTGATGGCAACTTTTTCAGCACTTGTCCGAGTTGATTTGTTTTTACAGAAGCTGCTTCTTTCCACAAAGAGACTTAACACAATATTTTAGTGTTCAAGAACTTATTTTTCTTCTTCAAAGGCACCTTTAAGGGTCTGTTTAAAAGAAGAGTGAAACAAGGAGGGATCCAACCTAGAAAGCAACACTCCAAGACCTGGAGCACTATCTGGTTCATATTTCTAACATCTGTGGACAGGAGGAGGGCGAGGAGATGGGGAGAGGATGAAACTATGGGTATAAGTAGCCAAAGGCAGCTTGGAAATTCTGCTGCATTGAGGACTTTTTCCCACAAAGCATGAATGTGTCAGGTCTGTGAATAAAAACTGTAGCTAGGAAGGACACTAGAGTTCATGGTGTGTACAAGCCATATACATATTAAAAAGAAACCCTTCACAGAACTGTATTGAAATAGGCTTCTGATGGCTTTGCCCCCATGAAGGGAGCCAGTGATACAGTGTACTGAGCTCTCCTGTAATGTGTAAATAAACAGGGAAGCCTTTGCTGAAGGAATATTTCTATAGCAGGAGCTAATGTGGCTGCAGACGCACCATGAGTGCTGAGCTGTGGCTGTATTAAAACAGATCCCCTTTTCATCCCATCCAGCATAAAGACTTCTTGTAGGAAAGCGTTTACTTAAAGCTTGCCCGCACAGTTAATTATGAGAGCAAGAGGCTCCAGTTACATCTAATTCTGTTCTTTCACCCTCTGACAGTAAGTTAAACACCTGCAATGAGCTCGGAAGCTGTTTGCAAACCAGGGCATTTATAGCTGGGAGGGAAGGAAGCCATCCAATGGGGTTCGGCAAGGAGCATGTTGGATCCCAAACACCAAACACAACACTTGATCATGCACTGTCATCCAATCAGTTTGCAGGATCTGCTGTGCTCTCTGTGCCAAGGCAACCCGCTCTAGGAAAAAAGGCCTCTTTCCACCTGGTGGGAGGAAAAAGGAGAAGGTCTGCCATCTTCTGCTTGTACCTGTTTTAGAAGAAGGAAGGTTAAGTGTAGGCATATATTAAAGAGAGAGGAAAGCAGATGGTCTCTCCTATATCAGGCTCACTTGGGGTTTCTCAGAATCCAGTACTTTTCCAAAACCAAGATGACTTAATGCTGGAAGGTATTATCCACCAAAACCAGCTCAGGGTCCCTTACACAAGCTAGGCAGGGAAAGACTTTGCTTCTTCCTGGGCAAGCTATGTGAGACCAAGGGAGCAGCCTCTGCCTATAGCAAGATGCATGAGAGAAGGCACGTCTTTCTTGGATAAACACAGCTCCTAGAGACCCCATTTCCCAGAGCTTCCTTAGGTTTCTGAATGGAAGTCATCTTCATGGCTGGTAGAAGAGCCACTAACTCACACTGCTAGTGCAAATACATCGACGTGTCTAATGGAAACGAACCAGATCTGCCCTCGCGTGGCTCACTCGTACTGGAGCTCTGGAACCTGAAGAAGGAATGGCGCACAAATTGCAAGGAAGAAGTGAATTGTGAGGCCTCTCAGTGACGGAGAATTGCCGTGTTGTCCTACCCCCTGCCAGGTCACTCTTCTGTAAAAGTTCACTGTGTTTTTTGGGCCATAATGCTATTGCCAGTGGGGCTATATTGTAGACACAAGGGATGAATGGTGACCACTAGGAACCAGCCACGAATGAATTTCAGGTTGGAAATAAAGTCTCCTTGGTGGATTTTGGTGGATCTAATTTTTGAGCTGTGGCTCATGGCCACATTGCTGTGAATTCAAATAATTCTGCATGTGGCTTCATTACCAGGCTGGGCCCTTCTTCATACAGCTTCCAGGTGGATGAATACATCATATAGTGCTCTGGGCTCACTGATTCAGTCTGTATGCTGTGGACTAGATCCTTCTTCCTTTTCATTTGGAGGTTAATGCAATTTGGAGAGATTTCTTGGTGTATCCTTCAGTGGAGATCCTGGTTGTGATTGCTAGGTGGCCAAAGATCATGTAGCTGGAGTCCAGCAACTGATAGCATTTCCTAAAGATGGTCAAAGATACAGAAAGGTACAGACATAGAAATTAGAGAGAAAAGTGTTTCTTGCTTTACCAGCACTGCAGAACCCGTCATGGGAAGGGAAATTTCATGTGGAAAAAATAGCAAACTTTAAAAATATAAGCATAAAAATGGGTCTGTGGGAAGAAGAGATGCCATTCATCAAGGTGTTAGTCTTGAAGTAGATTGCTCCTAAGAAATAATTCACTCTCCTCTGCTCCAGAATTGGACGGGTAGTCCCCACAGATGCCTTAGTACTGAAGCAGGTAGAGGTATGGAAGAGGAAAGTGGTTCTAACACTTTCATCTTCTTAAATCAAAAGCCTCAAAAGAAAAATCAGAAAGTAAGGAGGAAAGCAAAACGAAAGCCTGCAAACTTAGCAGTTGATCTCCCAAAGCCAGTGTTTGAAAGAAGCTCCTTTCTTCTTTGGAAGCAAAGCCAATGCAATGGCTCCCAGCTGGATGAAGGATGCTGGGCCAAATGCTTTGCCCAAAAAATATGAAGGCTTAGAGTTGAAGATGGACCAACATGAGCAGCAATGAAAGAACTGGTCCTTACTCAATTGGAACTCAGGGAATTCTGAGGTTGCTGAGGATAGAAAGATGGAGGTATCATAACAGGTTCTTCAATCAGCTAGAGATGCTGGATGTACAACAGTGAATTTAGCATCTAGTCTCTGTCACTTGCAGTTAGATCTTAGAGTCACCAAAGGTCATAACTGGGCTTTGAGGACATTGAGGTTTGACTACACTAAACACAGAATTTGCTGTCATCTTTGTTGCTGTCTTGGACATGAAATAGTCTGCAAACCTGCCAAGGTGAGGCTACCTTCTGGTGATTCTCAGCTCCTTTTTATCACCTCTGGAAGCAGGAATTGGGTCCTTTTGAAACCTTAGTCATATCACATTTTTAAATAAAAAACTTGACTGTCCAAGTGATGATATCTGCGATAACGTAAAGGGAAACTAAATAGAAGGTTGCAGGTCTCTTCTGAAGAGGAAGGTGTGTGTTGGAGCTTATATCCATATGATCCTAGGCTTGAGCCCTTCTGTGAATGAGGAATCGGAGTGTAAACCTGGGGATGCATGGCCATATCCAGTCCTGGCACATGCTTTACAGTTAGAACATGGTTGAAGCTCTTTCCTTTGATCTGTTTGAGAACTTCAGGAAAACTTTTTGGTTTATGGTTAAATATGTTAAAGGAGACAGGGGCTCAGTTCCTGGCTCTGTTAGGCTCCCTGTGTGACTTTGGCTAGTCATTCACTCTCCAGTTGCCTTGGTTCCTGTCTGTAAAATGGGCATAAATAATCTCTCTCTCTCTCTCTCTCACTAGGCCTTGTCTAGTCCAATTGCAGGCTCTTAGGGGCAGGGAACCTCTACCACCACAGGGCCCCAATTCCTGCCTAGCACCACAAGACCCCAGTTTCAGCTGAAGTATCCAGGCACTACTGCAATACAAAAGAGAATCCTTAGCTGCCAGTAGCATGGAAGTTTACAGTTTGCTATACATTATGAGGAGGCAATAGTGAACAAAAGTCATCTTAATAATAGTAAAACCTGATGCTAAAAAATAGAGGAAGTACTAACTCAGAACCAGAGGGAGCTCATAGGGCATTCATTTACCCAAAGCACAGCTCCTTACGGGAAAAATACCACTCCTTCTTGGGTCGATGAAGATATATCAGAAGGCTGAATTGGATTGGATGTTTATCATCGTTATTCTTACTCATGCTTTACCATCTTCAGTATCTTTCTTATTAGTGGCAATTTGGAAGCGGGGGCTGTTCAATTCCTACCTATTAAAATGGTAGGATATTCTTTAGTGCACAATATCACTATTCAAGAACAGCGTGCCTTCCATCAAACCGTCTCGTTTGCTGGTCAAAGGGTCTGTTTTAAAGATGAAAACAGATTCTGGCCTGGAATAAAGACACTGTCCCATCTTTAAAAAATACATGGGCTAGTTACAGAAAGGGCAAGCTACCTGGAAATGGGACGTGGGGCTGATTTCCAAACCCGTCCCTTCTGCCTAAAAAGGGTGCACCTCAGGAATTACATTACGTTCCCCCCGCTCCCCCAGCACCTCCGCTTCCCCTCCCTCAACGGCGTCATACTTTTGTTCTGCCTCCCCGCGGAAACAGCAGTGCTGTATCCCCTGCAATGCCCGAGGAAGGAGGGGAAAAAAACCCAACTCTACTGCAAATCTGTGTGTGGTTGCTGTGCCCTGAAAGGGTTAAAGCCCGCCGAAGCCAAAGTTGCATTTGTTTCCATACTTACAATGAGTCCAAGGACTCCAGGAGGGCCCGGGGCTCCCAATTCTCCCTAAAAGGAAAGACAGACCCACATGGTTACAGACTCTTTGTAGACAAACAGAGGCTGAAAAGTGGCTCAGTGTTTCAAGGACTTGAGGGAAGGGAAAAGATCAGCCCCCTCCTTCCGTCACCCCACCCCACCCCCTTCCAATAGCCTAAGCAATCTAGAGCTTCCATCTTCAGAAAGCATGTTAATGAAGGAGGGCAGCCTTTGCAGACAGAAGGTTACTTGTTGTTCTGCTGCCGTCCCCACAGTTATGTGCAAGACCGACTTCCCCTCCCAGGAGCAGGCAGGATAAAAGAAGCATTTCACTGCGTGCGTGCGTGCGTGCGTGTGTGTGAGAGTGTGTGTGTGTGCATGCGCACACTCATGAAGGGGGAGGGGGAAGCAAAGAGAAGACGTGGAGAGTGTGTCAGGTGAGAGCAAGGGGAGAAAGACAGGATGAGGGAGAAGGAGTGGAGAGAGAGAGAGAGAGGAAAGGATGAAGCAGGGCAGGGCTGGGTAGGGATGGAAATGAAAATAGCTGCTTTAATCCTGGGAAAGCGCAGACCCTGAGGAGGATGAATGCCTGGGAAATGGGTAAAAGGGAGGCAGTATGGCGCTGAAGACCAGGAAATCCAAGTTCCAGCCATGGCTCTGATCCCAGACGCCTGCCTGCCTTGGGTGAATCGCATCCCTTTGCAACTCCACTTGCTCTCTGTCAAGCATGCAATGAGAGCTGTCATTGAAGAGGCCGCTCAGATGAACAGGACTTCCATGAAGTGGTGGGGCCTTGGGTTGGGGGGAGTGGGGACGGTAGTCGGTACTTCTGGGAGCACTGTAGAGCTGCCCTGGGACTGGAGGAGATGGTTACTGGTAAGAGCAGTCCCTTTGCATGCAGAGGCGGGAGCTGCAGAGCTGCCCTGGGACTGGCAATGCTTCTGGTTGTTCATGGGGGTCAACTCTGCTGGCTGCTGCAGAGGGCAGAGCTGGGCCAGGGCATGGCCTCTTGACACAGTCAGAAAAAGAGGGTGGTTTATTGTACCCTGCAACCTCCTCATGCTGGGCCTGATTTACTCCATACCATCTTGCAAACCATTCATTTTCAAATGGAAAACCAGTCTAATTTCTGCACTGGCGGCTTCTTCACGGAGAGGCTGCTCAGGCACTCAGATCATGTCAGCGGGAATCTCTCTGCAGGCATTCTGCTGTCACTGCCCAGTCATTTGGACGGATGTGGTGAAAAACAGCTCTTATTACTGGCTAGGCATGAATTCTGTCAGATTCATCCAATTCTCAAAGAGCAAATAACTGGCAATAAATATAGATGAAAACATCAGTGTAAGAAAGAGAAGCTATTATCCCCAGTGTACCCCAAAGGCACCCCGGGGTGCTGCTGTTATCAAAGTTACAGCTGATTGCCGATAACCAGCGTGGTGTGACTGTACCCAATGCACAGGGATGTTTACTCTGCCCTCTCCTTTTCAGCAACTACTATGGATGCCCCTCATGCAGGTGGTTTTGGAAAGAGCCTGCTCCTCTTCGTGGCCTTTCAATAACAGGTTGGCTCTGACCATTTATGAAGACAGACTGCCACCTGAGATTGTGGTTAGGAGCTCAGGGCATGTGGGCTTAGTTTCCAGCTCCACCAAAGACACATTCAAGGCCAGATTTTCAAAAACATTTAGGCACCTACAGGAGCCTAATGGTATGTTCAGACATGCCCTAGACTAAAGCCCCACAAAGTCATCTGTATCTCCAGGTGCCTAAATACCTTTGCAGTTTCACTCTATGTGAAACACAATAAGTCACCTATATCCTTCCATGCCCCAGTTCTCCATCTGAAAATTAGGATAGCTATGCCTCCTGGTTGCCTGGACTATTCCAGCTGTAAGCTCTTTGGGGCAAGGACTGTCTCAAAGGGTGATGTCGCAGGTTCACTTGGACTGTTGGGACCTCTTAAAGTTACTATATGTTAGGATATAACCATTGCCTGAAAAGGAACAACTTTGCAACATTATGAGGGCACTTAACATGTGCTAACTGCTGAACGCACGTCTGCTCATGTTTTAACCGCACTTAGTGTTAAGCTGAATGCGCGACGCCACCTTTACGTTGCCCCTGTACAGAGTTAGCGTAACGTTCCATCGCGTTTGAGGCCTCTAGAGGCTCGAGTAGTACAAATGACATGCTCTTTCCACATAATCTGCGTTGGATTGGACATACTTTACCTTGTTCTATACTGGCTGGGTACTAATGCACAGCTCAGTCCCAACAGCCTTTCTGCTTACAGGGAGCCTGTTTGGTGAATTAGTGATTTTTCTGAAGGCCCCGGTGTGACTTAGAAATGGAGCGAAGGAATGGTATGTGCATGCACACAAAACGGTTTCATAGCCTCAATCTCAACCCCACCACTGATTTTTATGGCCAGGTCTATTCCTACATACTTTGGACATCTGCCAAGCCATTGTTCTCTCAGGTGGGATTCAGGATGGTAAGAGCGACTGGAATAAGGTCTGCCTTAAAAACATTCAGTTCTGGCCCCTCTCTGCTTGGTTCAGCAAGGAGGGAAAACATGTTTGATATTCTCCAGCAGACGGACTGGATAATATCCTTGTTTCTCTGAATACCTGATGAGTTCTACGGACTCTGCTGTTGGCAGGGGGTTGGGTTATACATTTTTTCTCCTGGTCTATTGAGTTATTGGTGTGGCAGGCTGGATTTCCGAGTGAGCGGTGGTGAGAACGCCTCAGGGGAAGGGGCACTGCAGCATCAGTGGATGGCACGAACCTGATGGTTGTCAAAATGTAGCATAAGATTTTTCTGGTGGGGAAGGGAGAGAGTGCATTGTGTGGGATGGGGAGGAAGCGTTAGTCATGCAGGTCAAACGGGGATCGGATGTTGTTAGCGGCAATCTGGCTGCAGTGGCAAAGGACGCAACAAAATCGAGGCTGATGCACTTCAGAGAGAGGACGAGGCAATTCAGGTCCCAGGACTGTCTGTCTGCATCTTCACCACATATTCTACCTAGCAAACTCAGCATATCTGTGTGTCCTACAAACAGACCTTGCAGAATTTTTCTGTCTGTGACTCCACTTGTGACCTCGTGAACCTCCCTTCAAGTAAGCTGAACAGGCTGTTTTCATTCTGCAGGCTTCGAAGCACATTAATATTTAAAAGCTGTTGATAAGATGAAAGCAGAGCACTTCTTCTGGATGATTTAGTAGAGGGAACATTTGCTTCCTTTAGCATCTCTCGCAAGCACTAGGAACTGGCATTTGTCTGCCATTTGACACGTCTTCTGATTAGGCTTTAGACATCTTGGAAATTGAAAAATACACATTCTTGGCACAGAAAATCTCTGTGAACATTATAATCTCCCTAATTCCTAAAGGACTGTGTGGCTCAAGGGATTGATAATGTGATCTGTAAAGCCTTTCGCTTCTAGGCTCTGGTTCCAGCCTGACCCATGTCTAGAGCCGAGAGAAGAATGACTGGGAAAAAAAACAAAAAACCAAACTTTTAAGAATAACCCTTTAAAACCTAAAGGTCTGAACCAACGGTGTTCATGAAGTTCTTGTGTTCACTTCCCATGGAAGTCGGAGCTACCAAGCTTGACTAGCAGGGATTACTTTCTTGTGAAAAATTAATTTGTGCTGGCCAGAAATTTCAAGATGTTGCTGAATCAGTTGCCTTGTGCAAGTCAAGTCATCCAAACAAGGCACAGAAGCAATGCTGTGCAATTATTGATAAATAGCCCGGGCACCAGAAACTACAAGAAGCAGCCAGGAACTGTTCATATGCTAATCAGGAGGAATAAACAAAGAGTCACAAATAATTTTGAACAATTCATACATTTCACAACTCCTGAAGTCCATTAGGAAATAGTTCGTGAGCAGAAAAAATGTCGTGAATATATTACTGAGTCTGAATTACTTTGCTTGGTTCTAATAGAGATTAAATATTACTAACATCCAGCTGGAATATAACACGTGCTGCAGAGTTTCTGTTCCCATGAGAAATGTCCACTTCTTGAAAGTCAGGCAGGGCAATCTGAAAATCTGCAGGACTCCAACACCTGCATGGCCTGCAGAAATCTCTCGCTCTCAATTTGAGACTAAGGCTAGGGCACGTCTACAAGGCAGTGTGAAGCTTGGTCAGCCACTTCCTATGCTGCATCTATTCCCTGGAGATTTCTGGTTCCAGAGCTGGCATCCTGACACCTTCTTCACTTGTATTAAAGTTTACTTTAGATGAGAGAGGATCTTACAGCTTCCTGAAAGTACTCTGGATACATAATTTATAATGACTCGATGGGCTGTGAAGCTAGGTTGAGTGTTCGCGGGTTTGAAAAATGAGATGCAGCAAAGAGAACAGCCCCTTTCAGTTTTAGCCTTGCTTGCTGAGAAGTGAGCGGAGCTGAATGTCAGCCAAGCCAGTTCTTCCTCGTCCAAGGGGAGTAGTGAAAAGGACAGGCGTTGGCCATTCCCTAAAGCAGCGTGGTAACTAGTTGTCTCTTTATCTCCACCGATACCTCTCCACAACTCCTCAGCTGTTCCCATAAGCAGTGACTGCTGAGAAAAACTGTCTTCAAAAGTCTGAAAAGGATTGAACTGAGGGGGTGCTGTAAAAGCCAGACGGTGACCTGCCACTTTGGGCCAGTTTCCATGTGACACCTACATGACTCAAACTTTACAATGTTAGGAAAAAGAAGTCCTGGTGACTTTTTAGCAGGCCTTGGATGGAGCCCAGGGTGTACAAATTGGTATAGATGATATTTGAATGACCAGCATACAGAAAGATAAAGACCAAAACCATTCCATGTCCATGCTTGGGATTCCTCAGTCACATGCTCAGGCCAAGAAAGTATTCAGCAGAGCTGGGGTGCAACAAAAGGAAAGGGCCGAGAGAAAAGTGGAATCCAGAATTAGTGAATAGCTTCCTTTGCAATTCAGTCCACCAGCATTACAGAGTATATGGTGTAAAATGAAATGGAAAAGAGGAGAAAAATGATGAAGATTTGGCAACTTACTGGATTCCCATCAATGCCCGGAGGTCCTCGTTCCCCAAAGTCACCAGGAAAACCCTGAGAGAAGGAGGCAAACACAAACATTGGTTATTGCCACATATTGGGGGGAAGAAAACAGACATCTTAGAGCTAGATCCATTCTGCTCAGTGCAACATTTTGCAAGCTGGCAGGTGACAAAGCAGAACAGAATACAAATAACTGCAGTGGTTACATGAACTTGAAAGTTATGATTAAAATAATTCCTATAAAGCAACACATGAGGAAGAAGCTCTGCAGGGCCCTGCAGGACATCATGAGGTTGTGTCCCTTACTGCACTGGCCAGTGCGAGTGCTGAAGTGAGAATGTATTTGTAATATCATTTGTACCCTTTGGCCAGGAACCATGTGTTAACCAATAGGATCTGGAAGAAGACGAAATCATTGTAGAAAACAGGGGAGTTTTCATTGTTATCCAGGTCGTGTAAAAATTGCTGATAACAGATGTCAGCAATGAGGTAGCTGAGGACAAACTTAGCTAAGCACTGAGTAGTTGTGGTCAAAACTTGCAGTGTCTGAACCTGGCTTGTCCTCAGCTATTCTTGCAAATAAAGCCATATCCAAGCCATGATTAGCTTCACCCTTTGCTATCACTGGTTATAAGCAGCGGTCATAATTTCATATTCTGGACATGGCTTTTGAGGCTCCAGTTGGGATAGTGGTGGTCTTTGGAAAGGGGGGAAACTAACATTTTGCCATCATGTAGATAAGCTGGCAGGTTTTGAAGACGTGACACCATAGAAAAGCAGTGTTGAATTCTTTACCTGAATATAATCAGAGGGAATGAAAAGAAGTTGTTTGTCAAGAAACGATGTGGACAAATTGGAAAGAGTCCAGTGGAGGACAAAACAAAATGGTTAGAGGGTAGAGGAACTTGACTTATGAAGAGAGACTGAAGGAACTGGGCTTACTGAGCCTGGAGAAGAGAAGACTGAGAGGGCATTTAATAGCAGCCTTTGGCTACCTGATGGGTGGTAACAAAGAGGATGGAGCTGGACCGTTCTCAGTGGTGGCACATAACAAAACAAGGAGCAGTGGTCTCAAGTTGCAGCAAGGGAAGTTTAGGTTGGATATTAGGGAAAACTTTCTCACTAGGCAGGTAGTAAAGCACTGGAACAGGTTACTCACAGAGGTTGTGGAGTCTCCATCCCTAGAGGTGTTTAAGACCCAGGTAGTCAAAGCCTTGGCTGGGATAAGATGGTTGGGGATGGTCCTGCTTTGAGCAGGGGGTCGAACTAGATCACTGGATCTCAACCTTTTTGGTACCAGGATCCATTTATAAACACTGATGGCCAGTCCTCACCCAGTAAATAGTTTAAGTAGAAAACAGCCCCCTGGCCCTGCTGGTGCCCCTCACTCTCGATCCACTGCTCCCCACCCCCAGGCTCCAGCTCCCTAGGGTGTGGACAGGGGGGTGGTG